GGGTTGTCGTTGTCACACACCAACCCCTCTTCCACCCTTGGAAAGCGGCGTCCCTGCGCCTGCCAAGTTGACTGGCTACGAGTTTAGCTAGCGCGCGCGTTTCTGCTATGTAACCCAGCCTCGCGAGCTTCACTGTTTTACCAAATCTCATGGCATAAGTACACACTTCAAAACGGATGCGGATGCCACTACCTGCCAGGGAGCTGTTGCGCTCGCAGATGGCCTTTGGTGAGTGTCGCTTGCAAGCTGCTGCTCGATATGGGTGCCGGTAATTCAGGTCCGGACAAGGCGTCTCAGGTTGAGACAGCCATATAACGGTAAGTTCCATTAGTACACAATCTAGCTGCCCAGTAAGTTCAGCTTCCACGCTTGCCAGTGTCCAAGTAGCTCATTACGTACTCTTAAAATCTCGCCCACAGATGAGGCACTCCATCCACGCACGTCCAATTCTCAGGTTACTGCCAGGCAATGAGAACACGGACAATTTTGACGCCTTCGATGGTGAGCTCCGGGAGGACAACATTTTTGCGACGCCTACCGATTTTATGCGAGACGTGCTCATCCACATCGGAGCCATCTATCCAAGGTAGACGTTGACAGCTGCCCCGTGGCGTGCGCTATCTTCTGAGCAGAGCACGGGATCTCTCAGGCGCTGTCCATCCCAGTTGCACAGGCGGCCCGTCCCATCCTTCAGCGATTGTCGAACCACCTGTTATACGTCACACTGCCCCCTGCACACACCTGGGATTGCCATACATCAGAGTCGACAAGACTGTCAAGGGAGGTCTGAAGACAATGCTACCCGAGCATACCTCTCTATCGCGTATATGTTGTGCAGTCATATGGGGGCTACGCTGCAGACAACAGCAGGAGATGGTCAATCGGAAGTACTGCGGCGGTCACTCTTCGCTCATTCCCCCTCGTGAGGGTCGGCCGCGCGCGCACCATTCACCAGTTCCTCCGTGGCTACTGTGGCCGATGAACTGAACAGACCGTACGTCTCCTGCGGTTTGTTCTCGGACGCTTCCCGCTCGGCACATTGCACGAACTCATCAACATTGACGACTACAACGAGTGCTTGTGCGCCGGGTCTGAATGTGATCTCACTCCACGTGATGACTTTATACTTTGGACGAGTGCGTGCATCACGCGGCCGCGGTTCTTCCAGCAACACGATACCAGTAGCCAAGATGGCGTCGGCTGGATTGACGGGGATGTCCCGCGAGGCTAAGCGTACATACATGGGCCTACCACATATCATACGCCCTCGGCTTATACAGCGTGAGTGTCTAGACCATTCATTATCCCATAGTACAATTATACTGATCTTGGTGTAACTGTGCGAATCACATCGAAACCGTGTGAATAGCGCTTCCGAACTGGGCGGAGTAATCACAGCGGAGGACCCTGCCGCATGCGGCCTTACCGTGTTATATCCTCGGATTGCAGGAAGTCACGCGAATTTGAAGGAATTTGAATGGTTGTCATGAACTCTCCTCCGTCCTCTGTTCCGGGATTTCTCTTCAAGCATCTGACATATTGTTATGTTGCCAGCCAAGATTAAACGATCACGATGGCCAATTATCCGAGCCTCCCGATATTCAGCCTTCATTCTGTTGCAGACGATATAAGAGACGGTATCCTGGTCTGCTTCGACTGGGACACACCAACCAGTCTGCTCAAACAAGCTCTTCGCCTTTCCACGGTCGCCATGGTGAACAAGTTCAGCTCTCTCCTCGTCGCGGTCTGCGCTGCTACCAGCGCCCTCGCTTTCCCCTTCGAGTTCCACAACTCTACCCAGCTCCACGCCCGACAGGGTACGCCCGCCGGCACCGGCACCAACGGCGGCTACTTCTACTCCTTCTGGACCGACGGCGGAGGATCGGTTACCTACAACAACGGACCCGCCGGAGAGTACAGCGTGAGCTGGACTAGCGCCGACAACTTCGTTGCCGGCAAGGGCTGGAACCCTGGTTCTGCCCAGTGAGTCTGCCCCGAGCACGCTGCACGCACGTGATCGTGTTTGCTGACGCGTTTTATACCCAGGGACATCTCCTTCACCGCGAACTACGAGCCAAACGGCAACTCGTACCTGTCCGTGTACGGCTGGTCGACGAACCCGCTCGTGGAGTACTACATCCTCGAGGACTTCGGGACGTACAACCCCGCGTCGTCGCTGACGCACAAGGGCACGCTCACGTCCGACGGCTCGTCGTACGACGTCTACGAGGGCACGCGCGTCAACGAGCCGTCGATCGACGGCACGGCGACCTTCAACCAGTACTGGTCGATCCGCTCCTCGAAGCGCTCCTCGGGCACGGTCACGACTGCGAACCACTTCAACGCGTGGGCCCAGCTCGGCCTCCCGCTCGGCACGTTCAACTACCAGATCGTCGCCACCGAGGGCTACCAGTCGAGCGGCTCCTCCACCGTCACCATCGGCGCCGCGACCGGCGGCAGCACCGGCTCCGGCACCATCAGCCCTACGGGCCCTACCACCACCGTCCCTGTCGCCACGCCCACGCCGCCCTCCACGGCCTGCGCCGCCGAGTGGGATCAGTGCGGCGGTGAGGGATGGGCAGGCCCGACCTGCTGCGTGGCAGGCACCACCTGCAACGCAGCGAACGCGTACTACTCGCAGTGCCTGGCGTGAGCGCGGATCGTCGGTGGAGCTTCTTGTACACGGGTGAAGTAGAAGTGTAGCCTGTGCGCGTGCAGAAGGATGGCAGGGGAGCAGAAGGTGTCTCCGTCGGGGAAGCAAAAGTTGCTGTTGGGCACTCGTGTTGGAGCGATGGCTGCCGGCCTGTATTAATGTAGTGCTATTGCATCTAGGAACCTTTACAAACTATCTGATTCATTTGTCTTCGGTAACGCCATGGGTGGAAGCGTTACGATAATGAACGTGCATGTCGTTTCACGCGTGTGAATAGGGCTGAATGCGGCCGTGCTGTTCGGCCCACCACGACGAGCAGTGTCGTTCGATCCGTGCGTGCATGCCTACCTGCATTCAAATTCAAAGTTGACCCGACGATCGAGCACACGCGGAGCTCGTGCACTCAGCCAGCGTACCTCCGATTAGCTACCCACGCCCAATGAGCGCGAACCTCTCACGAATGAAAGCGCACATCGACAACTCATTCTAAAATCGACGCCTGTACAGAGAGCAGCATCATGTATGACGAGTTTAGCCGAAAGAACGGGTATAACGTCGCATACGAGCGTGTATGTGCCGCACCCAGGAAGAGAGAGAACAACGAGGCCTGCGGGCTCCCAATCGCAAAAAGTTTAAAGCTAAAAGCTAAAGAAAAATGGTGGAACAACATGCCGGGGCGAGCAATCCAGCAGCTACGACAGAAAAAAAGCGGGAGAACAGCGGACTCGGACATGGATTTTCGGGCAGCAAAGGGACGGGGGCGTGTGGGGCGAGACAGCAGCGGTCATGACATCGTGAGGGGGCAAATACATACAGAGCATCTCAGCGGGCAGGATACGGTTGAGACAACGGGAAAGACCAGAGGGGACCATATGTAGCGAGCAATCATGTAACTCGGGACTCTTTAACAGGAAGCACGAAGCATGAAAAAAAGGAAGACCAGGGAAGACGTGTAGAGAACCCAGGAACCCAGGGGGTATAGGCAAGACTAATTACTTGGTATATGCTTGTACAACGTCCGTCTTGGAAAATACCCGCGCAGGGGCGTAACGAAAAGTTATCGCTATCATCGGGAGGGCCGGTTGAATGCTCTCGCGTGGGATGCGGCGATGCGAAAACGCGGGGGAGTGCGAAAGGTTGGCGGAAATGCAGCGTGCTGTTCCGCGAGGGCGGAGGTATGCTGGCGCACACACAGGAATAGGGATCTCGTCCCGTCAGATACGATGAAGCAGTGCGCAGCGCAGCGCCCCGAAAAGGGAGAGGCGCTGCGGTGGAAGAGTCTTCATACACGGACCTCGCGGATGCGCCACGTGTGCTTGGTCCACACAGCTCCGGCCGATGCACAGGAACCTTGGTCCGTCCAACGTCACACGCTTGCTGTAACGCGGGGAGCAGAGTAGCGCAGCTACGAGTGTCCGATAGGGATAGATGCGAGCGATTGAACCAGATTACATTATCGTACGGTTCGACGAGGTGTGTAGGGGAGGGACTGGGGGAAGCGGAGAATCCGAAGCTGCCGGAATTATATACAGACAGGCCCGGGGACGATATGTTTAAATATGCGAGACGATAAGTAAATGGCGATCGGCGATGATGTAGTACGAAGAGTCCCGACGTCTTGTATCTGCAGGGGGGTGAGAGGGTAGACGACGTTGTCAGGGTGTTATTACGGCGGAAAACTTGGCTAGCTGAGGTGATGTAGGATCCTATGCTGCATGTCATAAGCGATGGTTGTACAGAGGGAAAGCGTTTGGTCAGGACACGATGACGAAGGGGGAGCAGGAAAGAGCAATGCGGCAAACTGCGCCGCCCCTCGCGCGCCTCCTGAGAGCGTTTTTAGCAGCGGCCACTCACGTTCCCGGGTGCGCGTGGAGACGTGCTTATCCGAGACAGCCGGTTGTGCTTGCCACCAAGACGGGGGTGGATGACGGGGGTAGTAGTGGTCCGCCAGAACGCAAAGAGAAACAAACAAAGAAAAAAAAGAGGCGACGGGCCCAAATCCAATTTGAGTTGCGTGTGACGTTCAGGCGCTGCTGCTGCCGCTGCTCCAATACGTCATGAGCGCCGGTCGCCGCGGGACGATGATGCGCAGGTGTTCGCCGTCAAATTCCGCACGGACGCGCGCGAGGTCGGCGTCGTACCCGAACGAGATGCGCCGCTCGAAGTGGCCTGTGTGCAGGTTCAACCGGTCGGTTCCAGTCAGCAACAGGGGGAGAGAGAGATGCATTCGGCCACGTACCGCCGCCCGGCTCCCACGAGTCCGCTACGACATGCAAGATGCGCCGCCGCCGCGTCGACAGAGTTCTGACAGAGAAGCGCCATACGTCATCAGCCCAATGCTAAGTTACGCTAATCACGCAAATTATGTAAAACAAAGTACGCACATCGAGTCGCGGACGTATCCAGGTAGGCGCACGAGCAGGTGGTAGTCGGTCGGTCCCGTCTCGACGGCGATGTAGCTGTCCTGCGGCGGCGGGGCATGGCTCAGGAAGGACTCGTGTGGCGCACCGCCCTGGAGTGGAGGCGGGGGCGTGAGCACAGTCGGGGGCTGAGGCTGGAGAATCGCCCTGCCGTCGACCGAGGATGGGGACAGATTGCGTCGCGACTCGGAATATTCCCGGAGCCAGTCTGGCGGATCTGCGCGCGGAACGACTTCCTGGACCATATACGCTGGCCGGCGCGACGTGCTCGCCTGAGGATACGTGCGTGGCGAGATAGACGATGTCGACGGCGGTTTTGACGCTTGTTCGCCCTCAAGTGCTGTGCCGGTTGACGAGCCCTGGATCGATGGCAGGGTGTGATACGGCGTGTTCATAGGCAGTGGCAAGCTCTGTGTCGAGCCGCGGGTATTCGGATCCGGAGGTGGGGCCGCTCTCACTGGTCTCGGGGAGTATATCTGTGTCGGGGAGGGCGTATCTGAGGCGGACAACGGGCGGCCGTATAGCTGCACGGGGCTTGCCATAGACCTGCGATACTGATGGTGCTGATGCCTTTCCGGTGCTCTGCTCTCAATCCTCGCAGGCACGGGCGGGGACGGCATGTCGTCGGACGTGTCCATAGAGTCCTCTGAGGGCGACTGGGATTGCGAACGCTGTTGCTCGATGACGATGGACGCGGAGGGACTCGGGGGGCTGCTCGTGATTTCGGACGGGGCGCCCTTGGTGGGAGACGAGGCGTCCTCGGCGCCGTCGTGGGTGAGGATGCAGGACGAGGACGGTGAGTGGGAGACGTCGTGTATCTCCGAGGGCATGTACGGGAGAGGCACTTCACGTGGACTGTCAAAGGACGCGGTGCGTTTCGAGTACGAGGTGTTGCGGTGCACCAGGGGCGGTCGCTCGACGGTCGGCGAGCGAGGGTAGTACTGGGTGTGAAAGTGCTGAAGGAGGGGACGGGTGCGGTGCGAAGGACCTGAACAACGACGGCAGCTGGCTTACTTCTTTCTCTCCCACTCGCACACAGGTCTGAATCGCCCCATTGGAGCGACTACATAGCTTTGCCTCAGGCACCCACCACCATGCCTCTTCAAAGACGTCCCCGCCATCCTCGGACGGCCACCACCACCACCG